TTCATCTAGAAGTTAGATTATAAACTTTTTGTATGAATGAGCTGATGGAGTGAATCACAGGGAAGCAACATCTACTAATAAAGCTTGCTTCTTGGGTCTTGTTGCAATTCATGTGTAAATTATGACTGATTCTTCATAGGTTGAAGTGTAATGATGATTGATAATAGAGGCAAAGAACCTTAATTACATGAAGGAAATCAAGTGGTTTCTTCATTTTTATAGTTTTGTTGTAGCTTCTCATTAAAAGTGTAATATATATAAGCTTACCTAATGAAAACTATTAAGAAAAAATTGTTTTTTGTGTCTCCACTGATTGCCCCAATTGATTTTTTGGTCATGAAAGACTTGTATGGACTTGTTTCATGATTATTCTGTGTCAAGATGAAGCTTAATTCAAACCTCCACTGTTGTATCTTATTTTGGCTTTGGGGTTCGTGATTGATCTTGTTTAATTTAATTGCCACGTTGAGTTGGAGTTGATTATGTTTGAAATGGCCCATTTTTTAGGTTATTCAAGTGATGTGCTGAAGACAAATCTTCCCTATTTTGACATCTGTGTGGCAAACATTCCCTATCAAACATCGTCCTCCCTCACCTTCAAGTTACTGTTTTACCAACCTGCCTTCAGGTGTGCTGTCATAATGTTCCAGAGGGAATTCCCTTTGTGACTGGTAGCTCAGCCCAGTGACAATTTATACTGTTGTCTTTCTGTTTATACCCAGCTTTCTGCTCGGGTCTTCCATCTCCTCAAAGTTGGTAAAAACAATTTCTGGCCTCCACTCAAGGTTGATTCCTCTCTGGTTCGAATTGAGCCCCGGAAGCCACGTCTGCAAGTGAATCCCAAGGAGTGGGATGGATTTATAAGGATCTGTTTCATTTGAAAGAATAAAACACTTGGTTCAATTTTCAAGCAGAAAAATGTTGTGTCTAGTCTTGAGAAGAACTAGGAGACCCTACAAGCACTACAGACTTCACAAAACGATTCCTCTTTAGACAGTGATGAAATGATGGACGTCCCAGACTAGGAGATCAGGGTATGGACTTAGATGCTAGAATAGATGATGAAATTAATGGATGTGGAGGACAACGAAGCTGAAGGAGACACATCCAAGTTTAAAGAGAAGATTGCAGGTGTTTTGAAAGAGGGAGATTTTCAAGAAAAGAGAGCATCCAAGTTTACATAGTAGGAGTTTCTATACCTATTCTCTTTGTTCAACAAGCATGGCATACATTTCTCTTGACTCTGCAATACTGCAACAATCAATTTTGGGTTTTCTTTCTTCTTTATTATAATTTATAAGAGTGTACTTGGCATAGTTCAAGGGTTTTTTTATTTTGTACCTAATAGCTATATTTATTATATATTTTTATTATTAATTTATATTAAAAATTATAAAAATAAAATTTATTTTTAACATTATTGTTTTATGAATTGATGTATTTGGATTTTTTTAATGTAAATTAATGGTAAAGAAGTAAAAAAATCTATAATTAAAAAGAAAAAATGATTCTTGGATCATGCAGCGGTAGTAGAACTTGGTTAGCCCATACAAAAAGCGAAAAATATGTAAGCCCAGTCCGAAACGAAAAATCTCGCCAAGGGTTTCCGTAGGAACAACGCAGGCGCCGCACTCTTCTTCTTCAAGGCTTCGACTCCGTCTTCCTCCCGTGTAAATCATTTTTTCCGGATTCCACCCATATCGACAGTAAACAGAACACTTCATCTCATTTTCAAAAGATTTTCTATACTTTAAAATTGGGTTTTTACTCAAAAAAAAACCTTTCATCGTTTTTGATTTCTAACAGTCGAACTGTCTAAACTGTTGCAACGACTGCAGGAGTGATTCATAATGGGGGCTCAGCCAAGAGTGAAAGCCTCACTTCGGCTTGGTTCAGAGACATATTCAGTTACGGCGGTGAATGGCGAAAGTCTTTCCGAGCAGCTGGTTTCCATGAAAGAAGAAAGCATGACCATATTGAAGGAATTCATCACCAAACACAATGTTCCCACCGATGTCCCTGACGATCTGGTTGAACCTTCTTCAGAAGAAGAAGAAGAAGTCTCCGAGAAGCCCCAGTCTAAATCAAAGAAAACAAAAATCAACTAAGACTGAGGAATTCCAACCTCAAAAACTTGTATGGAGTTCTTTCTATGGTGTATTAACTATTCAGTATTAGGTTTCTGATGCAAAAAATAGTTCCATGTACCATGGAAATCCATCTCTTACGGATTGATTTTCAGATTTACTCCAAATGGGTACTTTGTATAATAAATTTCCAAGCTTAATGCATAGAAAATATGCATCTTGCACATTTCTTGTTTCTCAACTAAAGATTGTCTGAAAGGTATCAGATTACATAGCTGTTGTTTTTCTATGATAGCGGTGATAAGTTTATTGTTTAGCTATTAATTCTGTTTCTACATCCTAAACTTGTCTTCCACGTAGATTCATAACTACTATAGAAGGCCAAGAAAATAAAACTACTACAATATATGCTATGAACTATATATACTTAAACGATATCCAGTTCTCCATGGATCTTTCTGATTGCTTCTGTCAGGGCTTCCTATTGCAGAGGTTTTCCAAGACAATCATCCATTCCAGCTGTAATTGCCCTGCTTGTTTCTTCCCCCGGTGCATGACCAGTTAGCCCAAAAATTGGCAGGTGAACACCAAAAACCTTTGCCTCTTCCCTTATTCGTCTTGCTGCCTGATATCCATCCATCCATCAATGGCATTTGTACAACATTCAATTCAAGTACATGGTAATTCAAACTTTGAAAATTTTTATTAAGTATATGATGGAGATGGGAATCATAGGTTTTACGTGGCAGTCCATTAGTATATAGTCATAAGGAAGAACGTGAGAAGCCCTATTTTTTGTTCGATCTCTGAGACCATTGCGAACCAGCTTTAGTGCTTCCTCTCCATTTTCACATACCTCAACAATAGCACCATCCTATTCAAGTTTCTTCATTATCAAGGGATGATTTTGAATGTATTTGATATTTCCTGTTTTCAAAAGTTCTAACATCTCTCTAATTCCTGGTCCCAGGCATATGGGGATACATCATTTGAAGATTGTAAGAGAGCATCTGAAGAAGCAGTTGCTATAATAGTAAAAAACTTGCAGGTATAGTCTATGCCTGTCTTATGCGGTTCCTTTTTCTCTTAAAATTTGTTGACCAAAAGAAATGCAAGTTTATCAATTGTTATTTATGTTTTGTTGATGCAAAGCCTTCTCCCTTTTTTATTTATTTATTATTATTTTTTTTTTTTTGAATTTTCCATTCCAGGGGAAACTATTCTCAGATTCTGAATCAATACAAGCAAGAGCTGAAGCTGCAGTTCTTCTGAAGCAATTGGACTTTCTGGTTTGTACTGCATCTTCTAACTCTCAATTTCTCTTCTTTGATGAACAGCTTCTAATTTTCCAGACATGTTATATATTAGCTGGTTACAATATGGTTTTAAAGTGGATAAACATCAAATTATCTTGCATGTGTTTGCTGGACGCACACATTCTCTTTATTAAAATTCTTGTACACAGACATTTTCTTTATTAAAATTCTTGGTTTGCTGTGTTTTCTGCATATATAGTAAGCTCACGTTTGGATTATTCTTTGAACTAGCATTCTGAAGTTGTTTTGATCTTGTCACTGTTTGTTCCATCTATGTGCATGCCTATAATGATTTTCTGTACTCTGGCAGGTGGAGACCTTAGAAGCAAAACTACTGGAAAAGTTAGAACAATCTCTTGGAGACGTTCAGCTTAAGCCTGAGGATTTAGATAGTGTTTCAGAGGAGTCAAATGATGCTTCTAAACAGGGAAAAGATTCTGACTCTGTTCCTGTTAATGTTCATGAGGTAAGCAAGCATGGAGTATCATTTTCTGTCATTTTCTATGTTTTGCTGGTAGGGTAAAAAAGGGCATTTGGAAATGTATTTATTTGCACCAAAGGTTACTACTGAATTTGGTCTTTGAAAACACGTCAACCATTATGATTTGGGTTTCTTGGTTAAATTTTTATGTCTGTTGATGAGGAGGGATTCTTATTCATATTGCCGGTTTGGTTTTATGTGCCCATTGTGGAAGTTCAAGGGGCACAATTGGACAAGTCTTAGGTTCAGGTTATCAATCACAAAAGGGAAATGGGAGTATAAGTTGTTGGTTAATTATAGGGCTTTAATTGATATGAACCTTGAGAATTGTTATTTTTAATTAGTTACTGGTATACTTCTTGAAAAAGCAATAAAAACATCGAGTGTTTTGGAAATTGGAATATGAAGTATAAATGAGGGCTAGTTAATCAAGTAAAAAATATTGCTTGGGAGTTGTAACATTCTATTTCTTATTTTAGGATTTATTGCCTACAATGAGGGAAAAAGTAAGAGCAAGACCCAGCTTGATGCTGAAGTAGTTATTTTCTTTCTACATTCTGATCCTAGGTGCCTAAGTTAAATAGAAATCTTCATGAGATTTTGTATCGAATATTCTCTATAATATTAATTTTGTCTTGTAAAGGATTTTTTCTCTTTTGCTAAAACTCAAAAGGAATTTGTTCAAGTCATGGTTGCAGAGTAAAAATGCCAACTGCTAAGATATTCTGTGGGTTTGTGTGAGTAAATTTTTGTTAGTGGGTAGTATTTTTTTCCTGATTTATCTTCTATACATTAAACTACTGGACTCTGGTTTTGTACTTATTGTTCTATGTTTTTGATTGCATGGGTCAAGAAAAGATGGAAAATAAACTGTCTAGTGTACGACATCAGACTAATAAACCAACTTTATCCTCAATTGTCAAAATTCAGGCTTCTGTGCGTGAGTTTGCAGAGGCTATTCATGCTTATCGAGTAATTTTTCCAGACTCAGAAAAGCAACTAATTAAACTTGCTCAAGACTTGATTAGAAAGTCAGTAAACTTAACCAAAATTTTTTGTTGTCCTAATGTTATGACAGTCACCTTTTGTTCATTGAATTATTACCTGTGTAGCATTTTATCATTCAGGTTTTTATTTTCAGGCACTTGGAAACAACTGAACAGCATGTAAAGAAACGAATTCTTCAGCCAACCTACTGAGTGTTCTTCGTAAGGAGTCTAACTAAATTTGCTTATTTCATCGTCTCCTCCTTGATCTCTGCTCAGGAATGAAGCATTGATCATAATTAATCAGGTAGACAAAAAGCTGGTAGTTTCTGCAACTGCTCTTTATTAGTTGGCAGATCTCTCCTCAGTGTGAGATTAACTGTAAATTGTCAAAACGATCTTGTATGACTGCCAAAAGTTTGGCAACAATTACAAACAACCAATAAACTTCTCACTGGTTAACTAAAGCTCCCAACATAGTTTTTCAAATTGGCTACTAAAGAAATGGAAACTCCCACAAGCTTTTTTATAGGTTCAGATAAGCTATTTATCTTTTTTTGATATTGACTGTAGGCTTGATGTTTTCACTGTTTTGTTTGGGTTTTTTTCCAAAATTGTTGTTTTTTTTTTTTTTTTTTGCTTGTTTTTTTTTTTTTCTTTTTTTTGCTTTTTTGTTTTCCACTGGAAATTTTTTTGGTTTTTTTTTTTTTATTTTCGTAGAGTGGAATTTTTCTTCGCAAATTATAAAAGGAAACAGATCTTAAAAACCTTGTGCTGTAAGTGGTTTAGTGTCCTTTCAAGGATGATTTGATCTTATGCATATAGACTTGTTAAATGTCAATATTGAGAGCACCTTTTAATCCTCTTACTTGTTGGGCATTTGCTTCAACCTGTGAGAATAGTTCAAGTTCATGAGCATATAGGTGCTTGAGCTTGACACCAGTAACGTTTGGTTGCTTGCTATTTGTTGGATACGATCTAGTTTCTTTAAATTTGGGTTCTTTTTGAAATCATCTATATCCAGCTTCGATAAAGAGGATGAATAGAATTTCTTTTGGATTTTACATTTGGACCTTTTCTTTTGCGATTTAAATTTGTTTTTTCAAATGCTTATTGCCATTTGAATGCAGGAATTATATGGACAGATGTGCTTCTGATGGATGATGTATTGCATGAGACTGTTCTTCCTGACTTCTCTCTGGAGGTTGTCATTCTCTTTTGAATTTCATTTGTATTTATACTCATTATGATATCTACTTAATTTCTTTTCACTTGTATTTTACTTTTATGATCTCTAGTGTAACACCTCGTATATTTTAGTGAATAGATTAAAAGTTAAGGTCATTTATTTTATAGTTTTAAGGATTATATTGATTGGTTTAGAGTTTGGAGGTTTTAAGTAAAATTTAGTAAGAGTTGAAGGACCTCAACTCAATTATTCCAATCTTTTTGCCAAGTGGCATCATATCAACCGAACAAAACAATTTTGGTTGACTGCAAATAGAAGCCTCCTGAGACCCGCCATTTCTCTGCTTCTTTTGCTTCTTCCAGCCAGTCCCTTGCGTCTTTCATTCTTCCAGCCAAGTGTTTTGCTAAAGCCATGTGGGACGCACTTTCCAGTTGAAAATCCCTTTCAATTTTTGATGTCCTCTTCAATTGGGTATTTTGATTTTTAACTAAGTATGAGTTTTAGTTGTAAATTTGGGTTAGAGTTTTAGGTAAATTATAGACTTACTATAATATACAAAAATTAGTTTAAATTAGTGAAATTGGACTTGAAATCCTTTGTTTAAGAGAGTTTGGGTATTAGAATTTTGTCTAGAAGTATTTGGATTTTTGTGTGTATGCACATTATATATAGAGTTAGAAGTGGGTTTTATTACTATGCTTGAATTTTGTATGAATTTTATTGCTAAATAACTGATTATTGTGGTATTCGTGTTACCTTGGTTATTTTGTGTGAAGATGTTTGGGAACTTGCATGAACGAACTATATATGTATATATTTAATCGGAAATTTAAGTGCTGCACGTGGCTGCTTGTACTCAGGTTTTGTTAGTTCTGCATACATTAGTTGCATTGTTAAAATAAGAAAACAAATTTGAATTTTGTGGGTAGAACCGTGAATTAGTATTAGGAATTTAAAGTGAATTGCTTTAAATTGCATTTGCTTAATTGGATGATTAAATGCTATGTTTTGTGTGTCTTAACCATGAGGTTAAGTTATGTGAATTATGTGGAAATTTAAGTGGATTAATGGATGGAATTTTATTCCTACATTAGTTTTGGATGTATTTGGAATTTCTTTGACATGTGTATGTGTTTGTAAGGATCTAAGCTAAAAGCTTGGGGTATACAGTGGACCTCTGCACAGTAGGGTGAGTGCCGTGATTAGCTCCGGTACAAGTGTTGCTAGCACACATTAGTGGATTCCATAGCATTGTGTGATTTTTGGTTTTATACATTATGTTTGTGACATCACATTTGTGGGCATAAGATTTTATGATATGGATTCGATTTAAATGTCATTGCATATTCCTTGACATATTTGATTGACTGTGAACAACTTTGTAATATTAAATTATTATTTAAATATAAAGATTTATAATATTACGTGGCTTGGTTTAATTGATTATTTTGCTCTCCTTGGGTATAGGTCTAGGGGGCCTTAGCACTTAAGTTTGTAGCTTTAACTTAATACTTATTGGGCTTTTTAGCTCATGATATTTCCTCTCATTTCAGATTAGTAGATTAGAGTAAAAGCCACTTAGTTTGAGAGCTTTCAACATAAATCTCGTATGCCGACCTCAGTACTTTTGATGTAAAGATGGATTAATGTGTTACCAAAACGATAATTTTGCTTTTATTAGTTTGGAAAGTTTTTGAAAAGCATTTGCTCTCTAGCATTTTTTTTTATGTAAATTACTTTTATATATATGATATTAAGATTAATTTAAATGGGCATAGCCTAACTTATTTTATAACTTTGAGTATTTCGATATTTTTTTTAAAATATTTTTCATTTAAATAGTTTTCCTTTACAGATGAATGATTTTCCTTCTATAAAACTTTAAATTGTTTAAAAATAAATTTTCCTTAAAGAAAACATTTTATATTAGAATAATTTTTACTTTCACTGCAATCTTTTTCTATAGATAAT